GTACTCAGTCCATATTTTTGCTTGGATCAAGATATCACCAAATGAATGTCCCCATTCCTGGTTAGTGACACCGATGGATATAAAAACTACCATCTCAATAATGACCCTTCACAAAGGCCACTATTTCCATGGCTAAATACACCAAGTCCCTGTCTGACGTATACGACTTGATATTGCCCACTTTAAATAAGAGGGCTGCAATGATAATGGGTTTTTATATTTATGTCGGGCTGCGACATCGGCAACAAGCAAATATTGACCATAGAGGTTATTTAACATTAAACTGTAACTCAACTTTTATACTTTCCTGTCCTGCAATTGATACGAACACTGAATAAGAACATGAGACCCAATCTACCAGATCAGCCAGTCAAGGATAGAATTTGGTGTCATGTACCTAGAGATCTACCCTCCAATATCTACATGTCTGACATGTAGTAAGGTGTATTCAACCCATTTAAGGTGTATTCAATCCATTTAAGGTGTATTCACCCCTATTAAGGTGTATTCAACCCTTTTAAGGTGCATTGACCCTAATTAAGGTGCATTCACCCCAATTAAGGTGTATTCAACCCATTTAAGGTGTATTCAACCCATTTAAGGTGTATTCAACCCATTTAAGGTGTATTCAACCCACCCTGATCTTCCACTGAACATGGCATAACATGGACATACAGGTGACCTAACTGTTGACATTTTATGTATAATAATATCATCAAATATGTAATATTGATTGGTTCTTGTGTCTTCAGGAATGTATGTATGACAGTATATATGTATGTATGAATCGTAATATTTTGTCATCTTAAAAAATTGCATCTGTCCCGTAATGGAATGTTTCTGCAATAAATATTATCGTATCTTATCTTATCTTATCCTAACTGCCATAAGTAGACGACTTATAAATATCAACTAACACTATTGGTAGCTTCTTGTCGTAAATCTTTCACAACAGATGGTTATCAAATGTGTGAGGGGTGGTGGGATAGTCTAGTGGTTAAAGTGTTCGCTCGTCACCTCGAGAATCCAGGTTCAATTCCCAAGATGGGAACAATATGTGAAGCCCATTACTGGTGTGTGTCCCCTGCCCTGATATTGCTGGAATATTGCTGGAATAGGCTAAAAGCGGTGTAAAACCATACTCACTCACTCACCATCAGATGTGTGAATATACATGTGGAAATGTGAGGACATGGATGTGGTTAGATCCAAGTATCCAAGATTAGTTTGAGGGCATCACACCGCAATCGTAACCGCCATCGTAAGAGATCATGGTCTACGATGGCAACCTCAGCACCATCATCCTTGCTTATCCAGTGTATTATATCTCCACTTATTATGATAAATACCCTGGACCTATTCGGGAATGATGTCATAATCTCCAACAAACCAACATCCCTACCTAAACTTACGATTTCTCTTGCTCATGAGTTATTTGATTGGACAGGTACTTTTAGAGTTGTGCCATTCAAGTCAGGCTCAAAGGCCATGCAATGGCAGAGAAAAGGGATAAATTATATCAACTGAATGATGTAGGATGCCTCCGTAAGTACAGAGAGTCCTTTGTACTTAGTTCCTTTTGGCATGGTATAACAAGCCACAGATGAGCGATACCAGGGAACATTCCTGGCAGTCTGCAGACTGCAGTTCTCCTAAGCACTCATATGACAGCCACATCTCAGCCTTCTCCAGTTACCAATGTCAAGGAAGACACCTGAATCTGATTTGTCTGTCAAAACAACTTAGATCTATAGTCATAGTCTTTGAGCTATAGCCATGGGTGGTAATAAGCTTCTATCTCTGAACAGCAAATTACAGAGTAAGTGGATACATTTGAAACTGTTGCTGCTGATTCTTGCAGTTTCATCAGGGTAGGCCAGCTGGATAGTTTGATGCAAGCCCCACCCTGCTCTTGTACAAGTGGTTGCACCCAGTCAAGGGAAAAACCTCTGTACATTATACGAGTAGCCATAAAACACCCTCCATGAAAGCTTTTTTCTTGCTCCACATAACTTGAGCATGCATGACTGCACTGTCCCTTACCATACATCAAAAGCTTATTTTCAAAACAGTTTACCCCATGTCAATTTTGACAAGAGCTAAACTATCAATTAAACTTATTGATTGCTGCAGCTTTATTGTCTACAATCTCTTCCGAAAATAACCAGCCACCAAGCAGGCGTCCCTGTGTGACACAAAGCCCACGTCCCCATTATTTCATCCTGGGAATGTTAGAACAACGGCTTTTATGGAAAACCATTTGATTTTATAACCCAGAAAAAGCATTTAATACACATGGCAGGCTGTTAACAGCGATCTGAAGCAAATGAAAAGCACTATCAGGCCCAGCTGTGATACACAGCAATTAATCGGGCAGTCCAGGATATAAGGTGGTGTTGGCCTTCCAGTACCTAGAACTCCACCCTCAAACATCTACTCTATCAATTAGCACACTTTCTCCCACACGTACCTGTCATACATTCATATTATTTTTCAGACAAAACAAGTCTGACAGATGACCCTGACAGTGAAACATGGCCCTCTAGAATCAACTTCCCTTCAAAAAAATATTTCTCTATTACATTAGGCGGGATTTCTCACAGAACATTCTGAAGACTGAGGAACGGTAGTTTGTTAATTAAAACAACCAGCAGAAGTAGAACATGACACAAGACACAATGAAAGATCTCCTGAATCCAAGCTAGAGCCACATCTTAAGTTGACAAAGCAGTGGTGGATATTAATATGACAGGGAAAGCCTGGACAACTACTTGATGCTAACACCATGTTGGAAAAAGGTACATTAATTCTGCACAGATGCAGTTTCAGTGCCATCCCTGTAAGGATGCTTCCACAATCAATGATAAAGTGATACAGTATTTACTCTTTTCCCGCTTTGTGAACATTGTTATAGTTGCACAATGATGCCAGGTGCAAAACAATTACATTTATATCTTAAAGTTATGAATGTCACTTGAATTACTATAGGATGAAAACCATCAATCCTTTGTTCTGGAGGATAAACTATTCAAGCCTATTCTAACAATGAATTTAAATATTTGAATGCAACTGATATCTTTTATCCAGTGTATTGTGTGGAGGATGGGGCTGAGCAGCTGGGATGCAGGATAAGCCAAGCACTACTGGTCAGAATGGGGCCCTTCCTGCTGGCCTACACAACAACATTGTTCTCATTACATACACTAGTTCTAGCCATTGTATACAGCTGTTATTCACCATTACATAACAACCTCATATCCCACTGTTGATGTTTGGCATTGATACTAATCTAGGTGGCTAGCCTTTGTCCCATCCAATTGACCATTGGTCAATTTGCAGCAGGTGACATCCCCGCCCCCAGCTGCTATTATGTAACGTATCACACACCAGTACATGTGGCCACGATACCAGGATGGGAAACAACTGAGTGTAAGCTGAGGATTTGTTTCACAAAGACATTGCTCCTTGTTAGCACAGCAAACAAGTCAGCCAGAAGAGTAAATACACAGAGCGCCTTCTTATCCACTTGACAATGCAACAAATAAATATAATTATTCCATGTCAATACTAGAGATTGCATGACAATTTGCATGGAGACAGTGACTTATGCTATATGCTCAAATACAAAAGTCATTCATTCAGTAAACCAGTTTTTACACTTCCCCGACAGAACCAACTTCTCAACCTATTCCCATGAAAACAAATAAAAAAATCAGTCTCCACCAATTAATGGTAACAAACTTCCTCGAACCTAGCAAATTACTTCAAGGTTCCTAAAGATCAGCTCTGTTTCCTCTTTCTTACAATGGAAATACCCTCTCCAATATACTTCCTCTTGCTTTGTAATCATGAATACCATGAATACTGGTTTTGTAGCTGCATAAACAACACCTGTTACTTAAGTCAGTTTGCTTTCAAATATTTCCGTCAATTAAATACTTCCTGTGCTGTTTAAAAACAATTTGAACATTTTCACTTTTGATTCAGAATTTCGAAAATATAATTTATTTATTACCCAGTGCAATGGACTATTTCCTGATGTGGTTAACTCGTAAGCGATACCTTTGCTTTTGATATTTGAGCTATTACAGATTGCACAATCTTTGTTTGCCATGTCAATATTTTCAGCCGAGATGATCTATGTCAGGTTGGGGGGCAGATATGAGACAAAGCTCACACTATCACAACCTTTATTATGGGTGTAATTTTCAAACAGAATTAGGGGTAGTCTGAGTGGTGTCCACAAATATATTTATGACATATATTTGTAACGGGATATCAAGAGGGGGGTGCAAATATCTCTACCAGGAGCTGGGCAGAATTTATGATGGTATTTGCGTGTAGTGGTTTCACTGTGCGAGAGAGGTGTCTATACAATCTGGTCATAAAACACAGACCATATACCCCACGCCTGAATAGAAGACACAATTCCATGTTGCCCCTGACAACCTCATCTAACAATTCATGTCACTTTAACATCGGCACACACATTCAAGTAAATCTCTTTCAAATTCGGTTGTGGTTAAACAGAGGTTAAGTCAGCACAATGGCAGAACTGACTACCACCTGACCAGCCGATGGTGGACCTGGCTCCCATCTTTCATTCATAGCCACGAGCCCCTTACATCCCAGTGTTAAACACGTGGGTCACAACATCCGTTCAATTCTGGCTCCAACTTGCCTTCATTCATAGCGACAGAGGAATTGACACTGCCTAAATGTCATATCCCTCAATTATATGAATTTGGTTTTAAATGCTGACTGACTGCAAGTCGTGATGGTGATTTAACATGCCTTTCACTGCTGGCATATACAAGCTCGTAATCAACAGATGTCTAGAACAGAAACCATCCTCATACATCGTATCTCACATCATGAAGATGTAAACACATTAACATAACCTGACAACACAAACCATACTCTTAACACAGCAAATGGACTCAAAAGACAAGCATGTCACATCTCTCAAAGTAGTAATTATCCCAGGTGAGAGAACCTACCTTTCTGGACACAGCTAACGGGGTGATGATGGATTGCTGAGCAGCGGCAGCAACAGCAGCGGCAGAGGCAGAGGTGGGCACCGGCAGGAGAAGATCCGCTGGGGAGGGGGCGGGTGTGGCTTGAGGGATGGCACTGACTGTTGGGGTGGTTTGGAGAGCAGTGGGTCCTGCTGATGGGTGGGGCAATCCGTAGTTGTACCAGCATACATACATAGTGGGTCACCTAAACTACATGCATGTGGCCAGTCACTTATCCCTGGCCTGTGAGAGAAGAAAGAGTTGTGTGAGTGAGGACTGTACACAATGAAGTAGCACACCCGGACTTGACCTATCACTGTGACGGGAGACCTATAGACAGCTGGCTTGTTGGCTGTTCCGGCAATCACTCCAGCCTACTGCTATTACTGCTAGTCGTGCAGTGATCAAACTGCTCATAGAAAGGTCAGTCACTGCTGAGCCCCACGCTTTCAACTCTCCCTGTATCCTGAATGTCAACACGGCCACGCTCTCCCGCTTCACGCTTTTTTCACAAACAATATCCCTCCCGCGTGCTGTTCCAGTAATTGCTGTCCCCCCTGAAGCAATGAGACAAGTTCTATAACGAGATCAGGCTGTCCACCCTCCTCTCTTCTATTGAAAGCCCAGGCTATGACAGGTCCGAGTCCTTGATAATGGGATTGGAGAACAGACAAATATTTGCTTTCTATGTGTTTCATAGGCCACGCATAACAAATAACCAGGTCAGGTGACACGACAGGTGCCGGGTGGATCAGGGAGAACCGCCACTAGGATCAATGGTAATTTTACTAAATGTATCCTGATGTGTCGTGAGCTTTTCTGCCACCTTCGCCAGGTAAGCAAGGAGAGCTATGACAGGTATTGGATGCAGAGGTTGGTCACATGATGCTCCACGCCAAGATAATAATAGAATCCATTTATGATATCTACTGTGGAATTTGCTGCAGATAGTATGCTTAACTACAGATGGAGTTGTAAGATAGAAATTGTGCAGGGGGAAACACCCTTCCAGCTTGATCTTCACATCACATCTCTACTCCGACCATTCACAGTATTGATCTTGCTTCAAGCTGGGACAAAACATCGCATTTTGTGTCATCTCTCTCCAACAAACACAGGATGACTTGGGTCAATAAAACACACAAGTTGAACACTAACCATCGCTCAGCAATCTTTGCTCAAATTAATACTAACAGGGACCAACTAGGCAGGTGTTGCTTGAGCCTACATGTTACATAACACATCTCTGAAGGATAGAGAGAAAAGCAGGGAGGAACATAATGAACATTTTAACACAATACTTCATCAAAGCGTGGAAAGCTTGTCTGATTTTTTGCATGTGTATTGATTTCTATATAACAAATATACATGTGACATATTGCAACAGGTGTTTCAGAATGATAAAACTGAAACGTGACATTTCAATAAAGAGATATTAACAGTTAAATAAACAATATGTAATTATCATGTCAATAGAGGTATGTTTTAGAAATATTTTTGTAACAAATTCTCCCTATATTAGTTTGGAGATATGTTTTCATATTTTCCCTAATCATACAGACATATTGTGCGAGGCTTCTTCTTCCATGATATAAGGGTGCCTTTACTTTTTCAGTAGGACAAAATATATTCGTTTTTTAAGAGCATACTAAGAAAATGTACCTTTCAGTAAAAAACTGTTGCAAAAACAGGGTCTTGGATCATATTCATTACTAACATGCATGCCCTGCCATCCTATACAGTGGAACCTGATTAATCTGCACCCCCTTTAATAAGAACCCCTGACATCGGGACGAATACTGGAACGTCAACATATACTTCTCACTAGAAATTAAAGAACAACTGATCAAGTATTCTCTTGAATCGTATATAACAATCAAGACAGTCATACACTCATGAATCATTAATCCAGGAATGTGTCAATCCAGAAGAAATCATGGGGAACTGTCCAATCAAGATAAACAGAACGTTCCCGTACAAGACTGTGGCTTTCATTGCCATAAAAATGCCTTAAGGAAATATGACATTCAAAGGTGTGTCATTATTAATGTCAAAAATAAGATTAAAATGCTAAGAAAAAAATCTTGTTTTGAAAGCATTCTTAGGATCCGGCTGTCATGAGAAACTAGCCACTGACATTAATTTGCAGAACTGAATTTTTCTCTTCATTTTAACATCACCATGAAGACATCAAACAGCTCACCATCGACCACTAGCCCACATCAACACCCAACCATGCGCAGTCATCTCTCATCCGGCCCACATGGCAATTAATATTATTAACAGTAAACATGTATTTCAAGTAAAAGCTCATAATGAAGAACGTGTAAAGCCGATCCTATCCTACAATATTTTGTATGGTAAACCCAGCATTTCAGGTTGAGTGAACCTGCTAATGTGGGAATAGAGAGGGGGGGGGGTGAAGGAAACTGGGGAACACCTGTTACAGACTGTTACAGACTGTACAAGGCTATTTCTGTAACATCTTGTCAATATGTATGACATGACATGGCCACAATTACTGAAACTGTGCATGTTGGAAATGTTTGATATAAAAGTATATTGATATCTGAAAAACGTCACATCAAACGCTCTCACCGTAGAATAACGATCAAGTATAAACTTGGCACCATAATCAATAGGAATTTATATATTTCTGACACAATCACATGGAGATTTTTACTTTCTACCAGTCTATTTCAAAATATGGTTTATTAATTTTACCAAGTGGGACAAATATTTTCATCAAGAATAATTGTTATTGTATATGGAATATAGTGTACATTGATTGCTTTTCTTTATTTCGACCAAAGCAATACAGTCAAGACAAATGAAAACTTACTGGACTGTCTTTAACCTGAAACCACAGAAGTATGGCAAAACATTTTCCCCAAATCAACAAGAGTCATCAGAGTTGACATATGTCCCCAATCTGGTGCAATTTGGAAATGTAGTTTCACTCGTTCTCCACTTTTGACTCTTGGTCGCTGCTCTCCATTATTTCTCCAAATCCCATATCATCAAATGGCGCCAGTTCACGACTAGACTGATCTGTACAGCAAGTTTCATCAAGAAATATGTACCGGGTAACAGTTTGGGAGTTCTGCTCCAGAAATGAGCACTACCTTCATTTTCAGTATGTCTTAACTTGTCATGAAAACATATTTAAATTTTTATTTTTTTTAAATCACTAATCATGAAACGGCACCAGTTCACCACTAAACCCATCTATATAGTTAGTTTTGTCTGAAACATATTCAACATTTTCAGGGTTCTGATCGGGAAACGAGGACTAACCTCATTTCAGGGTAAGTCCAACTTATAGTCATGAAAACATGAAGAAATTAATCAGATATAAATATCGCTAATCATGAAAAGGCACCAGTTCACCACTACACTGACCTTAGTAACAAATGACATCAGGAAATATTCAACGTTTTTTTAGTTCTGCTCGGAATACGGACGAAGGACAGATGGATGACATGCAGATAGCTATATCTCCCAGTTTTTCAAAGCAGGAGGATAACAATAGCTGTTGAGTAAATAAATATCTTGGTGTGTTCACACAATATATGCCAAGCATGTAATACATGGATAGATACAATACTTGATTGCTGGTGATGTTGATCAATCAGTGCTCTACTACACGTATCAACACCTTCCCATCTGCAGCCAGCTCTGCTGCCGGAGGTATCTGAGGAAACGACACCACCATGATGGTGATGGATGATGCAGACATCAGCTCTGAGAAACTCGTGCAAAGTGGCAACTCAATATGAAATCATAAACCATCATCATAAACCGCAATGCTGAATACTTCACCATTAGCAATAAGTCTTCCACCAGCATGAATTTACTTCCCATAAGTTTAAAATGCATTTCAAGACCCGATTTCTCACTCAAGCTTTCGGTGTTCTCCAGGGGAATTTTATTAAATATTAACTTGTCCTGTTAAACTCTCATTATGTCCAGATTGCCCGAGTTGTCAACTCAGCTGGGACTGGGAAGGTGCTTGGGGACGCATCTAATGCAGACCGTAGCAATATCAATTACATACCAACAATAGACAGTATTTCCTCTAATTTCCTGATGGGAAGACTAGGCCCAAGTCCTTTATAGGACCAACATTGGCCCCTCGAGTCAGACTTGGACAATGGGCTCTTGTGTGTGTCCAAAGGCTTTAGAAACTCAAATAGTTTCAGTGATTGTTTAAGCAGTGATTCTAGACAAAGGATTAACCACAACTATTAAGGTCTTTACATCTTCTTCACAATAATGTATTTGTGGACAAAAAATGAATTGTATGTTCGGATCAAAGAAGGTGTGCATGCGAGTGAGAGAAGAGGGAATGAGGACCCATTAAACGGTAATCAGCGATCAGGTGTGTGAACGTGAGACAGAAGATGGATTAAACAATGATCAAGGCGAGCAACAATGGATGCATAGATTAACTCAGAGCTGTGAATACCACCTGCCAGAGAAACATGGGACTTGATTATGTCAGTTATGTCACAATTTCAATTTCTTCAGCATGTGTATCACCTGTTTGCTGGGTGTAATACAGCTTTGGATAATACTTCGGCTAAATCACAACATGTCAGCATAATTTGGGAAAGTGCAGAAAAGTTGTAAGTTGTGTACCACTTTAAAACTCATATTCATTGTAAGGATGCTGGCAAAACTACAAGCATAATAATTGCAGCAAATCTGAGTTTCAAACCCACAGCCAGCAGATCCTGGTGTAACAAAGGGGGACATCTCTGCAGAGCAAATAATAATCAGGAGATGATCTGGTGCATTTAGGAAATGGAGTTTGGCTACTCATACACCACCATTGGCTAAAATGCAATCGGATACCTTTGTTCAACATGTCCTTGATAGAGTTTGGGCAAATAAAGCAGAATGATACATCTTAAAGACACCACACAAATAATTGTGACACGTGATGAAATGGTTATCCTAAGGATGAAAGAATAGTTATTTAATTAGAATTTTCTCTTCTCTGCCATAATTTTATGATACCACCTACCCCGCCATCTGGCACATTAGAAATTGAGGTGTTTACCTTAAGGCTGATTTTCTAAAAGCATACACTGCAAACAGGATGCACAAAATCTAAAGCATGGAACTCCGGAAAAGTAATAATCATTTATTTTTTTAAGTCAGTTGTGACAAGTACGTCTCAGATAAGCTTGCAAAGTTTCATGATACTTCAGTAGCTGCTGTGAAAACTTGTCCCCAATGCAACCACTATGCACTAAGCACCACTATGCACTAAGCACCACTATGCACTAAGCACCACTATGCACTAAGCAAAACAAGGAGACAAAAAATATTTCTTTTAAAAATACCACATCAAAAGGCACCAGTTCAGTATGTGACTGATACATATGCAAAGTTAAACAGGTTTGGAATTATGCCCCCCTCCCTCATTCCTATATCCCCAAGGCAGTCCCAATTCACGGTGTGAAATACTAGTAAAAACTCACACACTTGCACTACACATACATATATTCCCTACAGATGAATTATTTTCAACAAATTGATTTGACAAAGCTGCCTTTTATTCAGTGAAGAAAAAAGTCATGCTGTTCAGTATGTTAAAAAATCCAAAATATTAAACGGGCACAATTCACCACGAGACTGATCTGTACAACAAGTTTCATCTCGAAATATTCAACTGTTTGGGATCCTTGCTCCAGAAACGAGCACCACCCTTATCTAGAAAGAAGCAATACTGTACTTATTGGTCTGAAACAATATGTCTGGTACTTGTCAGTTCCAATAATGACCCGTAGTGTACTCAATGGTGAAACTTTATCTGGAGCACTGGTAAAATAC